CCATCTTGGTCCATTAGGGTAAACTGCACCCTGCAGTGAGCCATCAGATACAATCTGTGTTGGGCTGGGCTGGGTGACTCACACCTGTAATTCTAGCACTTTGGGAGGCCAAGGCGGGCACATCACCTGAGGTCAGGAGTTTGAGGCCAGCCTGGCCAACATAGTGAAACTTCATCTCTACTAAAAATACAAAAATTAGCTGGCCATGTGGTGGGCACCTGTAATCCCAGCTACTCAGAAGGCTGAAGCAGGAGAATCGCTTGAACCTGGGAGGCAGAAGTTGCAGTGAGCAGAGATCGTGACACTGCATTCCAGCCTGGGCAGCAGAGTAAGACTCTATCTCAATTAATAAAAAAAAAAAAAAAAAGGAATCCCAGTGCAGTGGCTCATGCCTGTAATCTTTGGGAGGCCAAGGCAGGCAGATCACAAGGTCAAGAGATCAAGACCATCCTGGCCAACATGATGAAACCTGTTCTCTACTAACAATACAAAAATTAGCCAGGTGTGATGGCATGCATCTGTAGTCCCAGCTACTGGGAGGCTGAGTCAGGAGAATCACTTCAACCCTGGAGGCAGAGGTTGCAGTGAGCCAAGATCTCACTACGGCACTCCAGCCTGGTGACAGAGCGAGAGTCCATCTCAATAAAAAAAAAAAAAGGAAAATTTTGGAAGCGTACATAGATCATGCATCAAGACCTTATGGGTGGGCCTTTGTAAGGACTTTGGCTTTTATTCCAAGAAGCAATTGGACATTGGAGGGCTTTTTTTTTGTGGATTTCCGCCTGGGTGTCTACCTTTCCTCCTGGTTTACTAGGTATTACCACGGGATTTCTTTTTTTTTTTTTTTTTGAGATGCAGTCTTTTTTTTTTTCTTTTTCTTTTTCTTTTTTTTTTGAAGAAGAATGAGAGAAAGAAAAAGAATAAAAAAGAATGAAGGAGAGGGAGAAAGAGGAAAAGGAAGAGGGAGAGAGAACCGGGGGTGTTGCTTTATTGCCCAGGATAGAATGCAGTCTAAAAATGGGTATGCCTATAATTGTGCTTAATAATAGAGACATAAAAATAATGAGGGGCTGGGCGCAGTGGCTCACGCCTGTAATCCCAGCACTTTGGGAGGCCGAGGCAGGTGGATCACAAGGTCAAGAGATCGAGACCATCCTGGTCAACAAGGTGAAACCCCGTCTCCACTAAAAATACAAAAATTAGCTGGGCATGGTGGTACATGCCTGTAGTCCCAGCTACTCGGGAGGCTGAGACAGGAGAACTGCTTGAACCCAGGACACGGAGGTTGTGGTGAGCCGAGATTGTACCATTGCACTCCAGCCTGGGTAACAAGAGTAAAACTCTGTCTAAAAAAAAACAAAAAACTGCCGGGCACGGTGGCTCAAGCCTGTAATCCCAGCACTTTGGGAGGCTGAGGCGAGTGGATCACGAGGTCGAGAGATCGAGACCATCCTGGTCAACATGGTGAAACCCCTTCTCTACTAAAAATACAAAAAACTAGCTGGTCGTGGTGGTGCGTGCCTGTAATCCCAGCTACTTAGGAGGCTGAGGCAGGAGAATTGCCTGAGCCCAGGAGGCGGAGGTGGCGGTGAGCTGAGATCGCGCCATTGCACTCCAGCCTGGGTAACAAGAGGAAAACTCCGTCTCAAAAGAAAAAAAAAAAAAAAATGAGGGAAGAAAATAACTAACAAGCAGCCAACCAATATTTTATTTAAAACTGTAAATAGGGCCGGGTGCGGTGGCTCACACCTGTAATCCCAGCACTTTGGGAGGCCAAGGCGGGTGGATCACGAGGTCAAGAGATCGAGACCATCCTGGTTAACATGGTGAAACCCCGGCTCTACTAAAAATACAAAAAATTAGCTGGGCATGGTGGCGCGTGCCTGTAATCCCAGCTACTCAGGAGGCTGAGGCAGGAGAATTGCCTGAACATAGAAGATGGAGGTTGCGGTGAGCCGAGATCACACCATTGAACTCCAGCCTGGGTATCGAGAGTGAAACTCTGTCTCAAAAAAAAAAACCAAACAAACCTGTAAATAGGTGTGATGTGATAAGAGTGTATATTTTGTGTATTTAAAGTGGAGAGTTCTATAAATGTTAATTAAATCTACTTGTTCCAGATCTGAGTTCAAGTCCTGGATATCGTTGTTAACTTTCTGTCTCATTGATCTGTCTAATATTGATGTTGAAGTCTCCCACTATTATTGTGTGGGAGTCTAAGTCTCTTTATAAGTCTTATATATCTGGGTATTCCTGTATTGGGTGTGTATATATTTAGGATCTTTAGCTCTTCTTGTTACATTGATCCTTTTATCATTATGTAATATCCTTCTTTGCTTCTTTTGATCTTTGTTGCTTTAAAGTCTATTTTTTCAGCAAAAATTGCAACTCCCGCTTTCTATTTATTTATTTATTTTTGCTCTCCATTTGGTTGATAAATCTTTCTCCATCCCTTTGTTTTGAGTCTTTGTGTATCCTTGTATGTGAGTTGGGTCTAGATGCAGCATACCGATGGGTCTTGGCTTTTTTTTTTTTTTTTTTTGCCTGTCTTTGTCTTTGGATTGGGGAATTTAGTCAATTTAAATTTAGAATTAATAATAATATATGTGAGTTTAATACTGGCATTTAATGTTAGCTGGCTGTTTTGCCCATTAGTTGATGTAAATTCTTGATTATGTGGATGCTCTTTATTTTTTGGTATTTTTTAAAAAGGCTGATACTGGTTGTTCGTTTCTATGTGTAGTGGTTCTTTCAGAAGCTCTTGTAAAGCAAGCTGGTGGTGATGAAATCTCTGAGTGCTTGCTTGTTCACAAAGGATTTTATTTTTTCTTTGCTTATGAAGCTTAGTTTGGCTGGATGTGAAATTCTGGGTTGAAAGTTCTTTTCTTTAAGGATGTTGAATAATGGCCCCCACTCTCTTCTGGCTTGTAGGGTTTCTGCTGAGAGATCTGCTGTGAGTCTGATAGGCTTCTCTTTATGGGTAACCTGACCTTTCTCTGGCTGCCCTCAGTATTTTCTCTTTCATTTCAACCCCGGTGAATCTGGGCATTATGTGCCTTGAGGTTGGTCTTCTTGAGGAATATCTTTGTGGTGTTCTCTGTATTACCTGGGGTTGAATATTGTCCTGTCTTGCTAGGTTGGAAAGTTTTCCTGAATAATATCCTGAAGCATATTTTCCAGCTTGGATTGATTCTCTTCGTCACATTCAGGTACACCTATCAAACATAGATTAGGTCTTTTCACATAGTCCTATATTTCTTGGAGACTTTGCTCGTTCCTTTTTATCCCTTTTTCTCTAATCTTGTCTTCTCGTTTTATTTCATTAAGTTGATCTTCAACCTCTGATATCTTTTCTTCTGCTTGATCAATTCGGCTGTTAAAACTTGTGCATACTTCGTGAAGTTCTCATGTTGTGTTTTTCAGCTCCATTAATTCACTTATATTCCTCTCTAAATTGTGTATTCTTGTTAACATTTCATCAAACCTTTTCTCAAAGTTCTTAGTTTTTTTGCATTGGGTTAGAACAAGTTCTTTTAATTCACAGAAGTTTCTTATCATCCACCTTTTAAAGCCTGCTTCTGATAATGGAACACACTCGTTCTCCATCAGGCCTTGTTCCGCTGATGAGGGACTGTGATCCCCTGTAGAGGGAGAGGCATTCTAATTGTGGTTATTCTGAGCCTTTTTAGGCTGGTTTCTTCCCTTCTTTATAAATTTATCCATCTGTGGTCTTTATAATTACCGTCTTTATAGTTGGGTTTCTGAGTGGACGTCCAACTTGTTGATTCCCAGCGCTAAAATCTGAGCAACCCACTGCGCCAGCCAAAACAGTGGCGTTAAGATTGATGGTGCTTTTCTGACTCTGCACCAAGAACCTCCGCACCAAGGCAGCGGCAAAACCGCCTCGCCAGCCACAAGTTGCGCTGGCGACCCGTGGGGCTCCTTCGCTGGGAATCTCCTGGTACGTGAGCAACAAAAATTCGTCTGAAAGTATGGCGTCCTCTCATTCTCTGCACTTTCACTGGGAGCTACAATCCCGAGCTGCTAGTGATCAGCCATCTTGGATCTCTCCCTTCAACAGAATTTCCTCCAATTCTAACAACATCAAGCTCCCAGGAACACTGCAGGTGTGTCTTGTGGCCGTTCATATCCTCATGAGCTTTCATCTTGAAACATGGAGCAGCATTCATCCCTTCAGTTTCCAGCTGCTGATCCTCTAGCACTCTCCTCAGGGCTTTGTCGAACTTTGTTTAGCTCTGGGTGTGTGCCAGCTGCAGAGTACCCAGAATGGGTGTGAGGGCAGAAAGGGGATTATCACTTCCTTCCCCTCCGACTGGAGCTGAGCATTTTCTAGCTTTGGACCACTCTAACTTGTTGGACCAGTGTTGTCAGAAAACAATCTGCAAGGGAATCTTAGGGTCCTCTCTGGAGTTTTGACTAAAGGGTGGCAGTTATGACTAGCCAATCCCCTAGAAAATAGGTTAGATTCCCTTGTCCCAAGCTGATGACCTAGTAAATGCATGACAGCATAGAGACACATCCATGAAGTGTGCCCACCTATATTATTTAGGGTTTTCCAGAGAAACAGAACCAATAGGGTATTTCAGAGAGATTTATTTGAAGAAATTGGGGCCAGGCATGGTGGCTCACACCTGTAATCTCAGCACTTTGGGAGGCCAAGGCAGGAGAATCACTTGGGCCCAGGAGTTCAAGACCAGCCTGGGCAACAGAGGGAGACCCCATTTCTACAAAAAATAAAAATTAGCCAGGTGTGGTGGTACACACCTGTGGTCCCAGTTACTCAGGAGGCCAAGGTGGAGGATCGCTTGAAGCCAGGAGTTTTGAGATTAGCCTGGGCAACATAGCAAGACCCCACCTCTACAAAAAAGAAATTCGTTCATGCAGTCGTAAGGCAGAAAGTCCAAAATCCTCAGGGCAGGTGGACATGCTGGAGCTTCCCCCTTGGAACTTTGAGATTTCTTGTTGTGTCCTATGATTAGGTATTGGGAAGAATGTGGTTTGTGAGAAGGCAGCAACATCAGTGGATGCCTTCCGGATGGTGACAGCCTCAAGATACTACCCGCAGCTGATGAGCCTGGTGGGGAACGTGCTGCGCTTCCTGCCTGCCTTCGTGCGCATGAAGCAGCTGATTTCAGAGCACTACGTGGGAGCAGTGATGATCTGTGATGCCCGTATCTACTCAGGCAGCCTGCTAAGCCCCAGCTATGGCTGGATCTGTGATGAGCTCATGGGTGGCGGGGGCCTGCACACCATGGGGACGTACATCGTGGACCTGCTAACCCACCTGACCGGCCGGAGAGCAGAAAAGGTACACGGGCTTCTCAAGACGTTCGTGAGGCAGAACTCTGCCATCCGTGGCATCCGGCATGTCACCAGCGATGACTTCTGTTTCTTCCAGATGCTCATGGGTGGGGGTGTGTGCAGCACAGTGACACTCAACTTCAACATGCCGGGCGCCTTTGTGCATGAAGTCATGGTGGTAGGCTCTGCAGGACGCCTTGTCGCCCGAGGAGCTGACCTCTATGGGCAGAAGAACTCTGCCATGCAAGAGGAGCTGCTGTTGAGGGACTCGCTGGCCGTGGGCACAGGGCTGCCTGAACAGGGTCCCCAGGACGTCCCGCTGCTGTACCTAAAGGGTATGGTGTACATGGTGCAGGCCTTGCGCCAGTCCTTCCAGGGACAGAGTGACCGCCGCACCTGGGACCGTGCCCCTGTCTCCATGGCCGCCTCCTTTGAGGATGGGCTGTACATGCAGAGCGTGGTGGATGCCATCAAGAGGTCCAGCCGATCTGGGGAGTGGGAGGCTGTGGAGGTGCTGACGGAGGAGCCTGACGCCAACCAGAACCTGTGTGAAGCGCTTCAGCGGAACAACCTATGAGCCTGCACCTGGGCTCCTTGCCATAGGACAGAGGGACCAGGGAGGGGAACAGGAGCCAGATATGATGGGGGCTTGGCCCTAGCAGAGACAATGTCTTTCTTTTTTTTTTTTTTTTTTTTTTTTGAGACGGAGTTTCGCTCTTGTTACCCAGGCTGGAGTGCAATGGCGCGATCTCGGCTCACTGCAACCTCCGCCTCCTGGGCTCAGGCAATTCTCCTGCCTCAGCCTCCTGAGTAGCTGGGATTACAGGCATGCGCCACCAGGCCCAGCTAGTTTTTTTTTTGTATTTTTAGTAGAGACGGGGTTTCACCATGTTGACCAGGATGGTCTCGAGCTCTTGACCTCGTGATCCACCCGCCTCGGCCTCCCAAAGTGCTGGGATTACAGGCTTGAGCCACCGCGCCCAGCCTGACAATGTCTTTCATTTAATGAGTCTGGATGAAGCCAGAGGTGGTCCTGGGACTTCACCCTCCCACCCCCACCCCAGCAGCTCACCTGCTCCTTAGACTTGCAGGGTGGCAAACACTCCTGTTGCCAGGCTAGCACGGCATGCACAGGGTAGAGCTGTCGCCAGACCTCCTCATGGCGATGCCAGTGAGTGGGACCAGGAGAGGCTTACCCTGTGGGCCCTTCAGCCTGATCCACAGTCCTAACAGGGTGAGAATGCACAACAGGGGCCAGGCAGCTCGGCTGAAGCCCAAGGAGAAATGACTAGAAGTCTCGTTTCCATGTCCTCCTTGGGTTGGGGCATCTCAGGAACGGTGAGGGCAACAAGCTGACCCTCAGGGACCCTTACCTGCCCCCCTCCCATGTTACCAGCCCCTTCCCAGGTGGGGACAAGGGCTTGCTTTATTAAGTGAGCTCTTGGGCTTTTGAACTAGGGCAGAGGGCCCTGATTTGGCAAAGAGGAGGCAAGGGAGGGCTTTAGAACATCTGAGAAATGTTAATAAATAATTCAGAAAATAGGACATGGCATGTGGTTTTTGGTAGGTTGGGTTTCGTTAATACTGAAAGGCTTGATGATTTTTCTCTTTCCTCATGGCTCCACAGCAGCTCGGAGCCAGCCGTGGGTCATCACCGCCAACTGGGTGGTACCCCTGCCAGCCCTTGTCTCCCACCTATTCCCTCATGGCCAAATCCCAAGAGCCTCCAAAGAAAAGATTTTCTCAGAGAACAGGACTCAGGACTTCCTAATGGGCTGCTGCTGGGCCTGTGTCTCAGCAGATAGCGGGAGAGTTTGGGGCCTCTCTGGGCTGGAGGTCAGGAGAGATCTGTTCTTTTTTTTTTTTTTTTTTTTTTTTTGAGACAGAGTCTCGCTCTCGCTCAGGCTGTAGTGCAGTGGCGTGATCTTGGCTCACTGCATTCTCTGCCTCCTGGGTTCAAGCAGTTCTCCTGCCTCAGCCTCCTGAGTAGCTGGGATTACAGGCGTGTGCCACCACGCCCAGCTAATGTTTTTGTATTTTTAGTAGAAATGGAGTTTCACAATGTTGGCTAAGATGGTCTCGATCTCCTGACCTCGTGATCTGCCCGCCTCAGCCTCTCAAAATATTAGGATTACAGGCCTGAGCCACCACACCCGGCTGAGGGGTCTGTTCTTAATGCCACGGTGTTGGCTGCCGGAGCATCCTCGAAGTGGCGGGATGAGCGGTTTCAGGGAGGTGGCACAGGGTGAGAAGGAGGAGGAAGAGCTCCAGGCATGCCCCGTGGAGCAGCTGCAGCTGGACCTGCATTGCACAGGATTAGCCTTCTATCCATCTCCACCATAGGCCAAGGGGTGGTGTTGAGAGAGGACATGCCCTCCCCTTTACTGCTTTGAGCAGCCTGCCAGGAACATTCAGCCTGGACCAAGTTCTGTTCCCTTCTCTAACTTTCCGCCCTCTTCCCTGCCCTGGGTTCCTGGCCAGAAAAGCCCAGGGAGGGCTTCCTCTTCCTCTTGGCACCCCTTCTAGAAGTCGCCAGGCCTGTTTTCCTGTCATGTCCTAGATTCAGACGTCCGTGTGATATGTAATAACAAGGGGCAGGGTTGGAGCGTGCCTACTACATGCTGACCCTCAGAGCAAATACGTTATTATTTAATCTCCAAACCACTCTGACAGTACTATAGTAAATATTCCCATCATTCTGATCATAAGACGGAGGCATGGAGGGCAAAGCTACTTGCCTCCTGTAGGTTGTACATGGTGGAGCCGGGAGCCTGGTCAGGAGTATCTAACCACAGAGTTTGATCTTGAACCACACCTCCTCCCAGCACTTAGGAAGTCTTCAGACCCGAGGGCCAGGCATTTCCCTTCCCTGTGGGGGAACCTCGGCCTGGCCTGAACTAGGAGGTGAAGTGCAGACAGCACGTACCACCAGGCAAGACAGCGATAGTTTAAGGGGAGGCTGCCCCCTTTTCCTTGGGACAGTTAGCTCCGCTCAGTCCTCCCATGTGTGGCCAGGATGTTGAGGTCACTCCAAAATGGAATTGGCCAAGAAAGCACAAGCCCAACTTAGATGCTACTACATAAGAAAGGGCCAACCCAGAATGGCACTCTGGTTCCCAGAATGTGCTGGGGCGGAGTGCAGTGGGCTTAGTGTAGAGCTACTTTAATGAGAACCCTGTTCCTCTGAGGGGATTCCCAGAGCCTAGATCCATTGCCAGAGGGGTGCATGGCCCCTTCCCTCAGACATATTTATCATCGAGTATCTCCTGGGCATCAGAGCTGGTCAGTCCCACACTGGAGATGAGAAAGATGTGCCCAGATACCTATGGCCAAGGGAGCCCACAGGTTTCTGGTCTCCATGGGTGACTGAACCCACAATTGGTTCCAGACTTGTCCAGCAGCGCCCTCTCCTGGAAGAAGGCAGTAGCACCTCCCAGGACCTGTTTCCAAATCTCAGGATGTTACCAGCTCTTCCTCAGGTTAAAATTAAGTTTTTCCAGGCCAATAAAAATGCAGTTAGCTTTGCTTGTCAGATACAGCAACCAGAAGAGAACTTTTTTTTTTTTTCTGAAGACAGGGTTTCACCATGTTGGTCAGGCTGGTCTTGAACTCCCAACCTCAGGTGATCCGCCCACCTTGGCCTCCAAAGTGTTTGGATTACAGGCATGAGCCACCACACCCGACCCTTTTTTTTTTTTTTTTTTTTTTAGAATTATTCTACAATACCTGTCACTTACTCTTCAACCTCCAGCCAAATCCAAGCCTGTTCTCACCCAGACAGTGGCAGCTACTTCCTTTCCTGTTCTGCCCTTCACCCTGCAGTCCAAGCAGCCTCTCTGGAACATCACGCCAAGATCCTTCCCTGTCCACACCCCACCTCCTCATCCCCAGACTTGCCCAGCCTGGTTTCCATATGGCCACGCCCTCCACTTCAGTCACACTGAGCAGCCCTCCTGCAGCCTGGCAGCTTCCATACTAGCAGGGCTTCCTCCCTGGCATGTCCTCTGCCTGGAAAGCACCACCTCTCTCCCTCAGGAGTCAGCTAGAGGGCTGCCTGGTCACCACTTCTGCCTTCAGCAAAGTAGCCACCCCCCAACCTGTGGTCCCACAGCCTTGGTCCTCAGTTGCACTGAGGTTGCATGTCTCATTCATTCATTCATTCACTTATTTCTAGGCAGAGTCTCTGTTACCTAGGCTGGAATGCAGTGGCATCACCTTGGCTCACAGCCACCTCCACCTTCCAGGTTCAAGTGATTCTCCTGCCTCAGCCTCCCAAGTAGCTGAGACTACAGGCATCCACCACCATACCTGGCTGATTTTTGTTTTGGTTTTGGTTTGTTTTTTTAGATGGAGTCTCACTCTGTTGCCCAGGCTGGAGTGCAGTGGCGCAGTCTCAGCTCACTGCAACCTCCACCTCCCTGGTTCAAGCAATTCCCCTGCCTCAGCCTCCCAAGTAGCTGAGATTACAGGCGCATGCCACCGCACCCAGCTAATTTTTTTGTATTTTTAGTAGAGACAGGGTTTCACTATGTTGGCCAGACTGGTCTGGAACTTCTGATCTCAGGCAATCTGCCCGCCTTGGCCTCCCAAAATGATGGGATTACAGGTATGAGCCACTGCGCCTGGCCTACTTTTTGTATTTTTAGTAGAGATGGGGTTTCACTGCATTGTCCAGGCTGGTCTTGAACTTCCGGCATAAGTTATTTACCACCCTCAGCCTCCCAAGATGCTAGGATTATAGGCATGAACCACCATGCTGGGCACTTATTTTGAATATGTAATTTCAACTTTTACTTTACATTCAGGGTAGGAGGGTACATGTGCAGTTGTGTTACATGGGTATACTGCGTTAACGCTGAGGTTTGGGGAACAATTGGTCTCATTGCCCAGGTAGTGAACATAGTAATCAATAAGCAGTTTTTCAGCCCTCACCCCACCCCCTCCCTGCCCCCTCCCATAGTCCGATGTCTGTGGGTCCCATCTTTTTTTCCATGTGTACCCGATGTGTAGCTCCCACTTATAAGTGAGAGCATGTGCTATTTGTTTTCCTTTTCCTGTGTTAATTTGCTTAGGATAATGGTCTCCAGCTGTTTCCATGTTGCTGCAAAGGAGACAATTTCGGTCTTTTTTATGGCTGCATCATTTTTACTTTTTTTTTTTTTTTTGACATGGAGTCTTACTCTGTCACCCAGGCTGGAGTGTAATGGCATGCTCTTGCCTCACTGCAGTCTCCGCTGCCTGGATTGAAGCGATTCTCCTGCCTTAGCCTCCTGAGTAGCTGGGACTACAGGTGCAAGCCACCACACCTGGCTAATTTTTGTATTTTTAGTAGAGACAGGGTTTCACTATGTTGGTCAGGCTGATCTCAAACTCCCGACCTTCTGATGTGCCTGCCTCACCCTTCCAAAGTGCTGGGATTACAGGCATGAGGCACCATGCCCAGCCGTCATTTTTACTTCTTGAGACAGGGAAAAGTGTTGCCCAGGCTGGTCTTGAACTCCCGGGCTCAAGTGATCCTCCCGCCTCAGCCTCCCAAATATCTGGGACTACAGACACAGACCACCATGCCCAGCTACACATATCTCCTTAAATCATGTAGCATTTCCCTTTTAGAGTTAGCTTCTAGGAGCAGTAGTGACTTGATCCTTTCTGCAGCTCCTATCACCCACCCTGCTTAGACAAGTCCATTG